TCATTCATGTTCCATAGTTCAAGAATTAACTAAATGTTGGCGTTATAGCAAATGACTATTGGTATGGGCTGGGGTTGGTATGAGCTGGGATTGTTATGGGCTGAGATTGTTATGGGCAGGGAATGTTAGGAGCAGGGATTGTTAGGGGCTGAGATTGGTATGGGCTGAGATTGTTATGGTCAGGGAGTGTTAGGGGCTGGGATTGGTATGGGCTGAGATTGTTATGGTCAGGGAGTGTTAGGGGCTGGGATTGGTATGGGCAGGGATTTGTATGGGCTGGGGTTGGTATGAGCTGGGATTGGTATGGGCTGAGATTGTTATGGTCAGGGAGTGTTAGGGGCTGGGATTGGTATGGGCAGGGATTGGTATGGGCTGGGGTTGGTATGGGCAGGGAATGGTATGGGCTGAGGTTGGTATGAGCTGGGATTGGTATGGGCAGGGATTGGTATGGGCAGGGATTGGTATGGGCTGGGGTTGGTATGGGCAGGGATTGGTATGGGCTGAGATTGTTATGGGCAGGGATTGTTAGGGACTGGGATTGGTATGGGCAGGGATTGTTAGTGGCTGGGATTGGTATGGGCAGGGATTGTTAGTGGCAGGGATTGGTATGGGCTGGGATTGGTATGGGCAGGGATTGGTATGGGATTGGTATGGGCTGGGATTGGTATGGGCTGGGGTTGGTATGAGCTGGGATTGGTATGGGCTGGGATTGGTATGGGCTGGGGTTGGTATGATCTGGGATTGGTATGGGCAGGGATTGGTATGGGATTGGTATGGGCTGGGATTGGTATGGGCAGGGATTGGTATGGGCTGAGATTGGTATGATCTGGGATTGGTATGGGCAGGGATTGGTATGGGATTGGTATGGGATTGGTATGGGCTGGGATTGGTATGGGATTGGTATGGGCAGGGATTGGTATGGGCTGAGATTGGTATGGGCCAGGGCTTGGATTGATATGGGCTGGGCTTGGATTGATATCGGCTAGGCTGGGCTGGGCTTGGATGGGATCTAATTGGTATGGGCTGGGCTGGGCTGGGATTGGTATGGAAAGGGATTAGTACTTCCTGGTCTATAGAACTACAGTTAGAGTCAGGCCCTGATATACATGTATACCTTTTTTTTTTTTTTAATTTCTTTCAGGGCACAGTTCCATACACTGAAACTGTCATCTCTTTCATATATTTTCATGTACAAAAAATATTTCATTTTTGGGAATAAGTGGCCATCCTCCTACCACATTACTGGCATTATGACAATTTAATATGCTATACTAACATAAAATTACAACAATGCATCTACAGAGACTACAAATAAAACACATTACTTAGATTCAACTTAGTATGGCTATATATGAGAATATTCAAATAACATGGTAGACATATTCAAATCTTACCTTTGTGGAAATTAGCTCCAATTCCTTTACCTTGAATAATATTCTTACGATGTTTCTCACAGGCCAAAGAAAATGAATATTTGGATTTACTTCTCCATTCTTTCATAAATGTTTCAAATAGTTGAACATTAGTGCACACATCAACTATGGCAAAGGATCCATCTGTGCAAGCAATGCTGGGAGATGGTGATGATACAGGAATAGGGTCATTGCAGGGATTGCTGGGAGATGAGAGAATATCAAAATCTTGGGTATTGATGTCAAGAAAAAGATCCAGCTCTTCAGATGGAGAGTCATCCAATTCCTCACTTTGCTTTTCAGAATGTTTATTTTGTTGTGACTTCAGATTTCTTTTGTCATTTCTAGATATTTCTATGATACCACGAGTCTCCTTTGAAGACTCTCTTTCTGCTTGCAAAGAATTTGGATGTTTTTTGAAATTCAGAGGAGAACCTAGTTTGTTGGAAAAGCCCTGAGTACGTAATAACTTTGGTGTTTTGGAGAATGTTTCATCGGGTGGAGTTGGAGGAATAAAATCACCCCCACTGTCATTTGGAGAGTCTGTAGTTTTAGTTATTGTGCTGCGTTTTGGACTTACAAGTTCAGAATCAGAATCTGCTGTTGTTATATTTTCATTCATTTCATTACTTCGTCTTTTTCTAGTTTTATATTTTTTACATTTGATATGTTTTTAACACCATCAGACTTGCTTTTGACTTGGCACATAGTTTGTCTACACTTTGGTTGTTCAGCTTTGTCTGATGTAGTACCTCCTATTGATTCTGGAACACATTTGTTAATCACAGCAGTATCTCTAACACTTCCCTCTTTCAGATGTACTTGTAAAGGTCCTGTCTCTTTAATAAGCATTCCATGAACATTTGTTGATGCCTTACCAAAATACTGACACAGGTACTTTAGATCTTATTTCCAGACAGCATGCTTTACTTAACTCAGATTTAGATCAGCATCATCATATTGTCCAGCATCAGCATCATCATATTGACCAGCAGCACTACTAGCAATGCCAGCAGATGCACTGGTTGGATTATCAGTGACAAAGCAATTATCACTAAATGAGAACGAATCAGTGATTTCAGCTGCAATGGCTAAATCATTAGCCAACTGTGAATATGCCATATCAACCGGATCACCACTGTCATCAGGATTCCCTATCACATGTCCACCTTCTGATCTTCTAACTACAGGACTTAGACTACCAAGATTGTCTTCTTCCACTCTTTGATTAGAATTACCTGCAACATTGGCATGGTCCACATGTCTAGCATGCTCATGAGGTAGTGGTGTACTGGAGGTTACATTCTGTGATGGAGCAGGTGTCTTAGCATAGCTACTGCTAAATGTATCACTCATATTCATTGCTAATGCTAAGTCCTCTTGTAAGCCATCATAGGAGCAACCAAAAGCACCTGGACTAATGTCTCTTTTCACCTCAGATATAAATATTGGGGATGTGCATTCAGATAACTTTGGCCTTTGACTCTGTATTCTAGTGGTTGTCTTGTTATCCAACATTGGAGAAGCACTTTCAGCAACTATGTCATGCTGTGTACAGAAATCAGTCATATAATTTAAAACCTGTGAATCTACTGATGCCATGCTCACATCAAACAGTTGATTGTGAGAGAATTCTGCTCCTGTCACCTTATCAATGTAATCTGCTTTAGATGTCTTTCCACACTCCATGTTTTCATTCCTAGCAAAAGACAAATCAGCAGAAACCATACTGATGTCATTAGCAGAAACATCATGAGTGGCAACAACTTTATTCTGGAGATCATTTTCTTCTACATCATCTTTGAGACATGCGCCATCCAAACATTTTAATGTTACTCTATCATTTGTTGTTATTCTATCATTTGTTGTTCCTTCATCGTTGTTACTGTCTTGTTGGTGATTTCTTGTTTCAGGAAGTCCCTTTAGTCCTGTCTCTACTTTCTTTACTACATCTTTTGGCAACTGTGCTGGACTGATCTTGTTAATGACTTCAGGACTGTAAAGATCTTGCGTATAACTGTCATTGCCACCACCATTTATCAGAACACCCTTTTGTGCTTGACTACTTACATCATTTACAATAACACATGTCTCAGTCGGCTGTATTGCTACGTTACCCATCTTTTCAGTATTGGTGACTATATTTTCTTCAAGAGGGAGATGAATTTCAGAAGTCACATGTTCACCTCTATGCTGCATTGATAATTCAACTGTAGTATGTTTATCAGTACCACCTGCTTTACAACAGTCAGTAGACAAACCACCTTCTTTCAATTCCATGCAAGTGTTGACACCAGTTTTATCATAGACATGTTCTTTTGAAACATCTTCAGAAGCACAGCCAAGTTTCAGTTGTTTATCCACAGAATTAGTCTTCCATGGTGGAGATAAAACACATGTCATACCACTTACTTTCTTACCAGACATTTTTTTTGCAGCTGGTATTGCACAATCTCTAGGAGACTTACTCTTTCTTCTATTCCGGACTCTACTCAAGATGGAACGCTTTTCACTAGATGAATGTCGTACAGGAATTTTCTGTGACTGCATACTAGGAGAGGTTAAGGCAGCCCCAACTCCACCATCTACAGTTGTTTTCACATCATTTGGATTCCACTGAACACCAAGAAGTCCAACATCTCCTTTTAAACATTGCTTAGCCTCAGCTACAATAAGATTAGCAGCCTCCGCTTCTGTCAAACCTTTCTTCCCAGTTGCCCAGATACACCTTGTTTTCTTTCGTTCTTCTGCTTCATATTGTTCTTCGTGTTCAGCTTTTCTCACACTGGAAAAGTAAGAAAGACATAATTCATAATCAACTGACAAAAAACACACTATTATTATATTCAGTTATTTGTTTTATATTCCATCACATTAGGTACTTCTATTTTGTAACCAAAACTTACCAGCAAATAAATTAATATAATTTAAAAATAAAATGAATAAATGAACAAATAATAATTAAAGCTGCAAGCAGATTTACAGGTTACGAGAATGTTGTTAACATTTTCTCAGTGTTTGGTAAATGTAACCTCAATAATTAAATTGTAAATATACTATTAACCAATCTCCCTCCTGTTATTATTTATATTATCATATTTGATAATAAAAAGTATTTGAAAATGTAATTTCTAAACAGAAATGACCAAATAAAACCATAGTGCATATGGAACAATCAAAAGTAAATCAAATTTCTGCACATCTATAATGTAGAGGGCGCTATACTGACTGCAAGTATTGAATATTTGTTTTATTTTTAAAATCCAATATGGCATGAAAAGGCACAAGTCAGATGAAGTTTTTTTGTAAAATAGCTAGTCTAAACATCAATAATGTGACAACAACAAATTCAGAGTGCCTGGACCCTCAGAAAGGGTTCAAAATGGCAACTTCTGATTTAATACTTCAATCTAATATGGTCTAACCAGTTGACCTAACAAAACTCTGAAAGTTAGGTTCATCGGATCAAATACTACCGGGTACATGTCTAATTTTAAGTTGATTGGTTAAAGCACTCATGAAGAACAAATGCACAAAATGTATTTGACAAAAGTTTCAGATGATGACAAATTCCTGTGACAGGTCTAAACAATTTTTTGTATATTGATGCAACAAACTGGTAGCTAATTTAAATCGATCAGCTAACTGTGGCATCAGTATAAAACTACTTCCTGTTTAGAAAAAATCTAAGATGGCAGCCAAACCATGTGAGCAATCATTAAGAGGTTTACAAAAGTAATGTCCAATATACATAATTTGTTATGCTAAACATAAAATTTCAGATTACAGCCAAAACAAGGTCAGCTTGGACGTTCAGTTGCGAGACATAACAAATAAAACGCAGCCAGTGATACATTTTGAAAATAAAAATACAAAATAAACGCAATCAGAGGCGTCGACCACGCGCGTTGGCAATAAATAGAACGCGTTGTGACACAGTCTCACCAGCCTCTTTCACTGACGCAATATAATTATGCTATTTCCCAACGCACTTATATTTAATACATCGACAAAAAAACCACAAGAAAAATGTAAATCAGGCTTGTAATTACTAGTAACTCAACTCGAACACAATATTTATCACTGTAAAAGAGGATAAATTCGAACCAGCCAGCTCATGGCCGGAGACGTTCGGTCGTCTTTGTTGATAACTCGCCAATTCACCATAAGTAAGTAAGTAATTTATTATAGTGACCTGCAGCTCAGAGAACTGCCCAGCCCAGTGGACTTATAAGTCACCTTAAATAATAACAATTACATTCACAAATAAAGGTTATAAAAGAGAGCTTGAAATAATATATCAACAATACAATCGTGTAGTTCATAAAAATTCAGACGTACAACAAATTTCTTCTTTTGTAAAAGGCCTTTTCCATAAAAAGAGCAAGTTTTCTTATTGGCCCTGAAAATAAACGAACCAGTATTTGTTCCCGTGATATGCCAGTTATTTCATTAGAATTGAATCTAGATACTCATGCCTCATTCATTGTATTGCTGACAGTCAAACAAAAAATGAATT